GTTGTGCGAACTTGGACACCCCTCAGCGCTCCCGTTTCTGCATTCATAGAAGGAGACAATATGCTGTTCATGTGTAAAAGTGAGTATAGGCACCTAGAATAATTACTAGCACACCATGTAGTAATTATTGATACATCTACCTATTATAACCGCGCACACGTTCACTAGGGAGAGAATAGATGGGTCCTCTGGATTTGGAAACATGGAGATCCTTGGGAATCTTGACGACAGCGGTTTTAGAAGTAAGGATGGAGCGCGCTGAAGGAAAAGAGATCGTCAGAACAGCAGGTGCAGCAGATTCTATGGACAAGTTTGGCTGTAAAGCAGGACTGGAAATGGGGCAGGAACTGAAGAGGCCTGTTGACTCCAAAGGTGTGTGATTTCTTTTCTTTTCTTATTTTATTTAAATAGGAGACACGTTGATTGCTAAGAACCCCAAGTTCTTTTTTTTTTTCCTCACCCCTCCCAGGATGGCTTCCTCTTCTTCAAAAGCTATAGTGGGAGGGTTAATAGTCGCTTCGCCTTGCCCTTCCTTACAAGTATCCACTCTGATACCTGAAGCAGGAACTACCTAAGTCTGGAGTCTCATCTTAGATGAAGAAGGGAAGCTGTCAATCCAAACTTTAGACCAGGACATCCGCCTGGTCCTTGACCCTGAGGTGGAGTAATGTAATTATCTCTGGGAAATACTAAGCATGCTTGTTCTAGGTCATTTAACCCAATAACTGAAATTCATTAGGGGAACAATGGTTTAAATTGAACTGTAGAGAACAGTGAGAAGAGTACTAATTTTGGGTGATTTAGGGGAACAGGATTCTAGCAAGGTAGAAGGATATGGCCGATTCAGCAGTGGTCTGAAGACGCTGAGCTCCAGGTGGGGCAAAGGGGAAATGAGAGGGCGCCGACCCCTGCACGGGCTCTCCTCCTCAAAGCAGGGGCGCGGCCCCATCCTTCTTCACCTGCCCCTTCTCTGTAGGAGGAGCAGGCTGACAGCTGCGGTCTATCAGTTTCAACTCACTGACTTGTACAGAACAATGTGACTCTCAGGCCAGGTGTGTACACGGGAGCAGTGCCTTCCTCCTATGGCCTAGGCCTACACTCTTTGGTCTTTGGGGACTGAGGAAGAAATGGGCAAGCACAGGGGACCTAGAACCGAGAAAGAAGGGATAAATGTGGCCTTATTTCGTAGTCCACCCATGGTCCCTTTGCTGGGGAGAGGTGGGGGGCTGTCACCAAGATGTCCAGGGAGACCCATTTATTTGTTGAACCCAGGGCCTTCCCATTCATGGAACAGTTATAAATGCATGAAAAAGCCTTAAATGTGAGTGTATTCATATTCATAGTTTCATGTATTCTTAACCTATTATCAATTAAATGTTGAGACAAACTAATAAACTATTAATATAATAAAGGCTAATTTATTTTTACCATGACTTTGGCAGGTGCTGAATTTTTATTCACCTACACAAAGACTTGCATTGTTATGTAGGAAAAACTTGCATCAATTCATCCTCAGTAGAAAGGGTTGCCCATACTCATCACCCCATTAGGATATTTGACAATAATTCACAGATATTTGGGGATAATCATCAGGTTTTCAAATACTGTCTGGACTAGTGATAAACACTATATTTAAAATATAGTATAACTGTTGCATGCTTTCCTCCAGCAATTAACCTGTGTTGCTCCCATAAATTGTGCTGTCTCAATCCCCACAGAATAAGTATTTGGTCTGTATGCTCAGAATTATCATGTATTTTATTCTTCCCTACAGGTAGGTTACTAGATTTCCTCGTGAACAGTGGGCATCAAACAGCTACTTAAAAAAGACTAAATATGTGTAAAATGCAGCTCTTATTTCTCTGGAGTATTGAGTCATATTATACAGAATTATAAAATACTATCAGAAAAGGGCACTTTACATACCATAATAGTCATTTTATAAAGTTCAATTTGGCAATTCCAAGCCACATTTAATTTTCTCTGAAAATTCCCACATGGCAGGAAGATATTGCTCTTTGTAGCTTTCATGTCTCTTTCAAGGAACTGGTAAAATGACAACCTTTTAGAAGTAGCACTTTTTCTATGAGTAGACACTAAATTACTTATACCAAATAAAGTCACATATCACTTACATTAAAATAAATACTAAAATAATAAGTAATTTTCTCATATAACCATTCTGGGATTTGTTCAAATTAGAATTTTGCATTCTAGCTTGGTATCACTTAGAGTCACCTGTAATTCTTCATCTTCACTGATAGGTGGAGCTAGTAATTTCTGTATTAATTATAATATTTTAGCATATTAAAATCTATATCTAGATGAAGCAGATACTTCAATGCTTCAAAACTGATGAAACTGCATACTTCTCTTTTAAGGGATAAAACCGTTTGCATTAATATGTGAAATACACTACTAAAACACCCCCTGCTGACTTCATGGGTTTTGCAGGGAGTTATGCATAATTTTCTGAAAATTAAAAGACTGAGAATCAGATACTTGTGAAGATAAAAATTAAATCTCAAGAACTATTAAAACCTTGGAAGATTCTCCTAAGGTGGAATTTTTTATTCAGTTCAAATTATTTAACACATACCAGAGGTAAAAGAATAGGCTGAGAACACCAGAACTTGAGACTCAGCTGGACACACTAGCACTCTAGTAGTGCTCACTGAATATCTTTGTAGATCTACATTATGGAATTCAAATGAGAGTTAAGTGAAGTGACATGGGAAACTGCTTTGTAAATAATAGGTCACAACCTCACAAAGGCTGATCATTTAAGATGGCATGGTATAAGACAATGATTCTCATAGTTAGATCTCGGGACAAACTCTCTGAACATTCTCCTGATAATGGCCCTACAATGTGTGTATTCAATGATGGCATAAGTGCCAAGTAATTCAATTTCAGTCATTTCCAAAGCTAATGAAAACAGTCACACACAGACTTGTTAAGTAGCTTCTGTGTTCTTCCAAGAGAAAGGCAAGAGACAATAGCAAAAATTCTGAACAAAGATTTGTTGTTAGTTTGGATCCAGAAAACTGATGAGAACATTCAGTCATTGTATGGCATACTCACATTGGTACTGAACTTTTTATAAAAGAATCCTGCCCATCAGCATTAAGAGCAGTGATTTAACATCATGCATCATGTGTTGGACTTGTACCTTTGCACATACTGTACTTATTGTAATTGTTTTAGTTAAATTGTCCTACGAAAACTTTAAACTTAAGTTTATACTCAGGTTTATACTCTATATATGTATTCTATATGTTCAAATAACTAAATTAACATACATTAATTAAATAATTAATTTAAAAAAATTTCATACTTGAGGTGTGTGGCCCATGTGATCAGAACTCAGAAAAGCAAGAAATCAGGTTAAATTTTCTTTCTGTACTTTGCTGGGCATCCATGGGCAAGTCAAAGGACCTCATCTCTGTTTCTTCACAGTAAAATAAGGATGATAATCTCATCTATGTAGGACCATTGTGAGGACTAAATGAAACAATGAATAAAACTATGAATGAATGCTTTCTCTGGTATAGTATGTTTTGATTAAAATAAGGACTCTGAATGAAGAGTTCAGGCTTTCAACCTACATTTCTATGCCACCTTGAGCAAGTCATCTTACCTCTGCGAGAGTCATATCCCAATTTTTTAAAGCTAGGAAGTGTGTCAGATTACCTCACAGCCCTTTCTAAGATAGCTGTAACAGAGGGCGGCTGGGTTTTCCATATCATACCTAGTTACTTGGTTTTCCATTCACTCTATTTTAGACTTACTACTAAAAAATTTAGATTTAATAAAAATTTTAAAGTTCATTTGTGATTGATGCAATAATTTGGAAAAACAAAAAACAAAAACAAAGAGTTAGAAAAGCTATATTCTCCCATCTATCAGAGAGATTTTAATATCTTTCTTGGCTTTGCTGTTTTCTCCGGTATAATGGAGAGACTGAACTCATATTTGACCCTTTTTTCTGTACTCGGATGTAGGATCCTAGGCAAGTCAAATAACCTCTCTACGTTGTCTGCACTGCTTAAAAAGAAGGCTCTGGGCACAAACCTAGATCAGAATTTCAAATCCTGAGTCCACCACTTGTTTGCTGTGCAGCCTAGAGCAAATTGCCAATCCTCTCTAAGCCTTACTGTATGTTTTGTTACAGTTAATGAAATAATAGTTGTACAGCACTCAGGTTGAAGCCTGGTACTTTGGAGAAAGCTCAATTAATGTTAGCTATTAGTATTATTATGTTCCTTTCCTTTCATCCTTGGATTTGCTGTTACTGCAAAGAAAGGCTGAACTAATTGAAGCATTGCACTATGCTCTGAATTTGCACACCAGGTGACCTCTCTCGTTCAGTGCTCGCAATTTTAAGGCAGGCAGTCTGTCCACTTAACAGATGAAAAAACTAAGACTGAGAGAAGTTAGAAACCTGCTATCCGGCCCTGCAGCGCTGAGGTCCTAAAAATATCTAACTATATAAGAAAATTGTTAGCAACCAATTTTTACCGCTAATCCTCTAATCAGCAGCTTTTCTGCAATTAACAGAAGGCCTTTAGGAACGCCCTTCACCCAGGTGCACTGAAACCCTGGCTGGTTGTTGGAATCCACGCATCTTAGGCTCCGCCCCTCCGGGTTCCCGATCAGACCCCCGCCCGCCACGCCCACCCACGGGAGGCCCCGCCCACCCACGGGAGTCTTCGTCCGCAGGGATCCTTCACCGCCCTCTTGCGTGAAAAAGCAACGGGCATCCAGCCTGCACAGCACAGAGAGGGACGTAGCGCATGCTCCCTGAGAGCGCCCGGATTTCCTGTCCACGTTCTTCGTTTCCGACAGGACACCACCGACCAATGAGGTGGGCACGGAGGCGGGCCGTAGTGCTCCAGGCTCCTCCTCCGCCGGCTGCGCTCCTAGCCGCGGAGAAGGGCCCGCGTGAGGCCGGAACGGCTCCGCCGAGGCCCCATGGCTACCTCCCGGACGCTCACCACTTTCCGTCTCCCGCCGTTGCCTACGATTCGAGAAATCATTAAGTTGTTCAGACTGCAAGCGGTGAAGCAGCTCTCCCAGAATTTTCTCCTGGACTTGAGGCTGACAGGTGGATAGCTTACCAGTGCCCCAGGCCGTCTCCCCTGCGTCCCCGGGGGCGTGGGTTGCTGGTCTCGCGCGGACCCTGCGGGCGGGTGTTCCGCGTCAGGCGCAGTTATACATCCAGCCCTTAGTCAAATCCTTCCTCCGCTTTGTACTGGAAGGACTGCGCGCCCAGCAGGCGCGTGGAACGCTTTGTGTGTTCACGGGATCCCGCGGGCGGGCAGTGCGGACACCGAGCAGACCCCAGGGCAGAAGGGGTGCATGAAGGGGAAGGCGATTGCGGACTGTCGAAATTCGGTGTGTTAACACAGAAACGGCGCTACACGTGCTGGCAAGGTTTACTTTCCGTGCAGTTTCGAGTTATCCGAACTTAGACTAATGCAGGGATTTTATCAATAACTTGCCGAAAGGGCGTGTCACTGTAGGATTCAGTATTGAGACGTTTACTTGCATCTAAGAAGTCCTCGTGGGTGCAAATATTCATTCGGTAAATGCATATCGAATAGCTCTGTGCTGCAGTTGGAGCTACAAAGTCAGAGTGAAACAAGGCAAAGTCCGCCTCCAGGCACTCAGTTTAGTAAATTTACGTTCCTGCTCCTGCACAATAAAAGTCACCAGTTTGAAGCGCACAGTTTGATGAGTTTTGCGAATATATACATTCGTTTAATCGTTACCACCATTTATTTTTTAAAATATAGTTTTTAAAGATTTTATTTATTTTTAGACACGGGAAGGGAGGGAAAAAAGAGGGAGATAAACATCGCTATGTGGTTGCCTCTCTCGCGCCCCCCACTGGGGACCTGGCCTATAACCCAGGCATGTGCCTTGACTGGGAATTGAACCAGTGACCCTTTGGTTCGCAGGCCGGGGGTCAATTCACTGAGTCACACCAGGCGGTGTGTAACCATTACCACCATCTCTTAGTGATGTTCCCTTTTAAAAGACAAGGTTGCAAGAATAAGCTGTATTACGAATGTGTCCTGTCCATTAATTCACTGCTGGAGCACTAACCGTTTTTGAGGTTTTGATATTTTTATTTGGGTTCTCTTTAGAAGCTGAAAATATATCACACCCCAAAAGTTCATTTTTCAGTTCAATGAAGTACCATCCACAAAGCACAACTAAACTAAGATGCTTTATTTGTTAGGCTTGTTTGGAGCTTTTATTGTGCCAGTAACAAGACTTTGGTAAAATAGCTCAACTTTGCTTCAGTTTTTTCAATCTGTTAATTGGAGGAACGTCCTACAACACAAGTTTAAAAGGTTACCCACCTCCAAAGTTCTCTGGGTCTGGTAGTAACCAGAATCAGCTTTTCTGCCAGTCATCAGCCACATTCTAGGTATAAAGCACCAATCTTGGGACTGAAAATACAGGTCTTTACATGTTAAAAAAAAAATCCTTCACGTGTATTTTCTCATTGAGCCTGTATTCACCCTCAGAAGTTCGTTCCAGAATCTAGATATTATCTTCCACAGGAACCAAAATGAAGGGAAATGAAGGTACTTGTCCAAGGCCAGCAGCTCAGGTGGGAGCAGAGGATGGCTGAACCCCAAGCGGAGTGAACCAGCGGTGCCTCTCTGACGGCCTGTGCACGTCAACGTGCCTGAGCAGTTTGAGGGCAGGGCCACTGACCTGCCTGCTTGCATAGATCTCCACTTTTCAACATCAGTGAGAATATTAAACTCACTCCATAATGCCTGTGCTTAGCTATCTGCTCCCTCTGAGGGACGCTGGTCGGTATCAGCTTTAGAATTTATACCAGAGCTGGAGCCTCTTCTCTTATAATTGCTTTCTGGATGACCTGGCAGGAATAAAACAGTCAAGGCGAAGGAAGAGCTCAGGCAGTTAAATTGGGATAGTTAGTGCATTGTAGGAATCTGTTGTGAGAAAGCATATGAAGCACCTGTGACAAACAGGTGGTCAGGGGGTGCTGATTCGCTCCCTGCACCATTAACAGACGAAACTGCTTTTGAAAGGTCGAGCGACTGTTTTCCGTTGAAGCCTTCAAAGGCAGGTTCTCAGTAACGGAAGCAAAAATGGGACTATATAGTGTCTGTGAACACTGCCAAGAAGTGCTGGTATGTTTTTCATGACTAAATTTCCACTATGCCGGGAGGCCCATTTGTTTGAATTTTAATGTTTCAGTCAGTGAGACCAGCCCATTGTAATTTCTTTTTTTCAGAAGTGATGACAAGTTGTACTGAGTTCTCCTGAATGCGCTTTTCCATGATTTCTTATGGTCTGCCAACTTAAAGAAGTTGATTAATTAGAGAAGAATTTCTCTGCATCAACGCAAAGTTTCAAAACTTCCACTGCTAAATTTAACTTTTAACTGAAAACCACTAAAAATCCAAATTTCTGCAAGTCTTACAGTCTAGGAAATTGTTGCCATTGCCATATTGACCAGCAACCAGATGTCTAGAGGTAAAAATGGAGACCACCAGCGCTTGTGGCTTCTGGATTTTTAAACAGCAACATTGAAAATTCTGAATGTGAAATTGGTCATGTTCATTCAAATATTCGATGTTCAATGACTGTTGAAACGTGGTGCATGCTTACCCAGCCTGTTCTTCAGAGGGATTGATTGGTTTGCAGGAGGAAAGAACATACAGTATTGGCTAAATTTAAGGAAATTTGTCACGATAATCCTATTTTTGTTAAAGGACTGGTACTTCTCGGCAGTGAGGTGGTAGAATGATGAACGGCCACTGTGTGCTGGTTTAGGCTGAGAGGGAAATGATTGGATTCATACTGTACATAAAGGATTAGTTGATTGGGTAATGGCTGATAAGAATTTGTATGGATAATTTTTTTAATTCCATAGACCAGAATTTGCAAAGATAATCACGATGACTTTCTTTTCTCCAGATAAAATCGTCCGGAAAGCTGGCAACCTGACAAATGCTTATGTGTACGAGGTGGGCCCTGGGCCAGGGGGCATCACAAGGTCCATTCTCAATGCCAGTGTTGCTGAACTTCTAGTGGTTGAAAAGGACAGTCGCTTTATTCCTGGATTACAGGTGAGGTGCTTAAAGTGTCTTTCCAAGAACCCAGTTTAAATCTTTAGTCCGTGACTCTTAAACCCCGTGGTATCCAAAAATCAAATAGGTGGTGGGTCCCCGGGCCCCATTCCAGAGATTTTGGTTCATAGTCCGGAGAAGTCTAGACAGCTGCGTTTCTAACAATCATCCCCACGTGGTCTGCTGACCAGGACTGAATAAATCCTGCTTCATTCATTAATGCTAAACAAACTGTCTTGTGTCGCCTTCTAAAGAAAATCCAATACCTGTGCACATCATGGCCCATTCCTTTAAAAATAAGGAAAAATAAATATTGGTGATAATGACTCAGCATGACTTCTGAGAACTTCATTTAGGTTCAGAAAATCATTTCTACAAGCAAAAGGTGGAGAAGACATTGGCTTAATTGAGAAACTAGTTGTCACGTGTAGGCATCTATATAAGAATTTTTTAATTGAAGGAATGAATGGGTACCATACGAATGGATTCAAGATGAGGTGTGAGTGAAGTGATACATGCATCTTTAAAACAGTTGGTATTGTTATTATAGGAGAAATATTTAAAGGAACTGGGCACTTTTCAACCAGAGGAAAGAAGCCTTGAATGAGGGAATCCAGCACCGCCTATCAAAGGTTGGCGGGGAGAGAATAAACTTGTTTTGATATTCTTGAAAGAATTAGAACAAATAGGTGTGAAATGAGGGAGGCGGATTTAGATTTAAAATATGAAAGGACATATATGTTTAAAACGTTGGCAAACAGTGCAACAGGGATCTTATAAAGCGGATTCTTTATTGGGGGTGCATAATGGCTGAAGGGCCTTTGATTCTTCCCTAATTCTAAAGCTTTAAAAGAACCTTTAGGAAATTAGGTAAGTCCAGTAGAATAGTCAAATTATCTGCCCATTTTTATACAAGAGGAGAAATTGGTTTAAAATTGGTACATTTTAATGTTTACTTGTGTGTGTTGGTGGAAAAACGTTTACTTTCTGCCAGAACATTTGAGAAAATTTGTTTGAAGATTTGTTTGTGTGCATGCATCTTATTTTAAGAAACCTAGTGATTTTCTTTTTATTTTGCTTTGTTCAGTTTTCATGCTTTAAGAAATTATATAATTTTCTTTTATCTAATAATGTACTTTTGTATAATTTTGCCAGTCTTTATTGACAGAATTGTTTTCAGATTTATCACTTTATTTTGGGATATTATATGGTACGTGTTCTGTGATCAAATGTAGAATTTAATATTGGTTTTTGCCTTGAACTGCTTTCTTATTTTAAGAACTGTATCTCAGTTGGAGATGAAAATGGGTGATATTATTTTTTGTAAGATCATGAGATGATATAAAGAAACTGAATAACACTACATAATTCCCTTCAGGTTTAATCATTTAGCCCTTTCTGGACATAGGAAATACTCATCTGAATTTTTTGCTCTTAAAGAGACTTCTTAACCCTCAATCTCGCCTTCTGTTATATGCAGTTCTTTCTCATTAGGCAGGGAGGTGAGTCACATTTCTGTTCACCACCATTTTAATTTGCATATTCTCCTTTCTGATCTTGACTATAGATCATTGAAGACAGAATATTTAAAGGACAGGTGTACCCTTCGTATCTCAGCTGCCCTCCCCCCAAGTCCCTACACCTAATCCGTCCTGTTTTATTTGTCTTATTAGCTTTATCCTCATCTGATACTGTCTCTGTGTTTCTCCATGTTTGTTGCCCATTGCTGGATTTCTACCATGTACGGGAGCGCCCGGCACATCGCAGACGCTCAGTGGCGCCTCAAGTGGGAAATAAAAAGGTTGACACTCTGTGTGGCTGTCTGACCAACTGACTAACAGTATCATTTCATTTAATATTGAAAGTGAATAATTGTGCAGCATAGATTATCAAAAAGTTTTGTGCTTTTTTTCCCAAATACTAGGTGGTTAATTTCAAGCTAAATAACTCTGTAGGAAATATGTATTTGACTTCTTATCCGTTTTTGTAGAGGAAGCAAAATTTTTAGTGCCTTGGAGGCAGAAAAACAATGTGCCTTAAAAAGAAGTGTTGGGAACTGAAATATCAAATAGACTTCTTCTCCCTGTAAAAAATGTTTCAATATGTAAAACCACTTTCTTTTAGAGGTACTAAATTAATCATAAAACTGAGTAAAGGCAGAAAGAGAGTGATCTATTTTAAGGATTCCATTTTAGCGATTTCTAAGCTAATAGAATTACTTTTTAAAGAAATTGTAATAATTTATAAAATGTCTTCTAGCTGGAAGTATGTCATTTGTAGCTTAATTCAATTCTTATAATATTATCATGAGGCAGCTTAGAGGAAAGAACAATAATGATGTCGGTTTCACTCTCAGCATGTTGTAAAGTAAGAAAACGTATCTCCTATGTGAAAGCATTAGAGTACGGTTTTGTGGTAAAGAACGCAGACTCAAGGGCCAAACTGTCTGGGTTTAACTTCGGGCTCTGCTTTTCCTAGTCAGATGACGTCAGGTGGGTAACACTGTCTCTGTTCATCCCTTTGCTCACAGGATTGTTAGGAGGACTAAATGAATACCTCCTACTTAGTAAGCGCACAATGCAATTTTTGTTATAATTAATCAAATTATTAACCCATGCCTGTGCACCTCTGTTAATTAAGGATCCATCAGGAGACTGCTATCTGGAAACAGAGGAGAAAAGTAATGTTATTTCTTTGGAGCACTAGAAAACCCTTGGTGTCTTGGAAACATTGGGGCTTAGAATTTCTCCTGCGTTTTCTTCCAGATGTTTAATCTTGCTGTTGATTCTGTTAAAATAAATAAATAAGTAACAGAACTCGTAGCTACAGAGAACAGATCGGTGATTGCCCGGGGGTGGGGTAAAAGTATTCAAAAGGCACAAACTTCCAGTTATAAAATAAGTCTGTCCTGGAATGTAATATACAGCATGGTGACTGTAGTTAATAAATACTGTATAATAATGTACTTGAAAGTTGCTAAGAGGGTGAATCTTAGAAGTTCTCATCACAAGAAAAAAATTTGTAACTGTGTAGTGACATTAACTAGACTGATTATAGCGACCATTTCTCAGTATGTACGTACCGGCAGACCTTGGCGACATCGCGGGTTGGGTTCCGGACCCCCATGATAAAGCCCATGTGTAATAGAGTTGTAGTCTTTTTGCTGGTGGAGACTTTTGCCCTCAATTTGTAAAACAAAAAAAATGCAACATTTGTGAAGCACAATAAAGTGAAGCACAATAGAATGAGGTATGTAGGTATATTGAATGTTGTATTCCCGAAACTAATATAATGTTAATATGTCGATTATATCTCAATTTTTAAAGAGTCGAAATGATTTTCAAGATCCCTGGTGATATTCTTTTCTCTGAAATCTATTTTATCTGATATTAATGTTGCCATTCCAGCTTTCTTTTGATTAGGGTTAGCATGCTATGTATTTTCCATCCTTTTTACCTCTTTGTGTTGTTATATTTAAAGTGGGCTTCTCATAGGCAGCTTATAGTTGCGTCTTGCTTTTTGCCCACCAGTTGACCATCTCTGCCTTATGCATTAGTTCTCTGTTGCTGCTGTAACAATTTACCCCAAATTTAGTAGCTAAGAGGACACTTACCCTCTTGCAGTTTTGGGGATCAGAGGGTCTAAAATCAAGGTCAGTGGGGCCTCGTTCTTCCTGGAGCCTTCAGGAGAGAATTTGCCTCTTTGCCTTTTCCAGCTCCTGGAGGCCCCTTGCTTCTACATCTGCTGCTGTTGACTCTGATCTTCCTGCCTCTCTCTCACAAGGACCGTGTGATTATGTTGGACCCACCGGGACAAGCTAGGATACCTCCCATCCCAAGACCTTTAGTCACATCAGCACGGTCCCTTTCATACGTAAGGTAACGAGATCACAGGTCCAGGGACTAGAGTGTGGGCATCTTTGGGGGGCCAGCACTCAGCCTCCTGCCGCTCATTGTAACTCTGTGCTGTTGTCGCAGTGGTTTGTTGAAGGTGTGTAGGATAGGCTAGTCCAGTGTATCTTCAAGTTTCATACCACTTCAGTTTTAGCATAAAACTTAACAGCAGTCTCTCCCTGCCAGGCTTTGGGCTCCCTGACACACTTCCGCATACGTTATAAATTTCACAATACAATGTGTTTTTGTTTTCAAAGTCAATTCTGTGTTAAAGAGATTTAAATAAACAAAAATTCTTAAGTATTTACCCATATGGTTACTATTTTGGGTGTTCCTCACCCATATTTCCATCCAGTATCATTTTTGGACTTTCTTTAGCATTTTGTATAGCGTGAATCTGTTGGTAATGACTCTTTCAGCGCTTATGTGTCTGAAAAAGGGTTTTATTTCGCCTTCAGTTTTTGAAACACAGGCAGGCAGTGCTCTTAAGATGTTGCTCCACTATCTTGTTGTGTTGCTTCTGACAAGGAATCTGTCATCTCTATCTTTGCTCTTCTGTCTTTTTTCTCTGGCTGCCTTTAAAATGTTCCCTTTATCGCTGGCTTTGAGCAGTTTCAGCATGGTGTATCTTGGTGACGTTTTCTTCAGGTTTCTTACCCACGGGGTTTATTGAGCGTCTTGGATTGGCAGGTCTCCCTACGCCCCCGTTGTCCGGTGGCTGAATATTGTCACTTCGACTACTTTGTCTGTTTTGTACGGAAGGCAGAAGAGTATAGCTGCTCCTTAACAGCCCATCTTGGCTGGAGTAAGAAGTTCTGGCATTCTTTTTAACCATTATTTGTTTATTTTGTGGAATTCTAGAGATAGTAAGGTATGGGTTACTGCTTGTATTGCCTCTGGGTTTTTACAACAGGTAAACAAGAGTGATTACATCTACTCGAGAGGCAAAGTGGAAAAATTCACGAGATGGAGAGTCAAATAGGCTGGTGCTCAGGTCTCAGGTATGCCACTAGCCTCATGACCGTGAGCTTATCGTTGAACCTTTTTTAGTGTCAGCCTTTTCCTCGTGGAATTCCAGTTATCTGTTGTGGTTATTGCACGGATAGA